GGTTACCAAAATGGACCCAACTTTGGCCAAAACGGAAACGAAGAAGAGAGAGTGAGAGAGTATGAGAGAGAGAGAGAGAGTGCGTAAATGTGTGGGTGAAGAAGTGCACACAATTAGGTCAATATACTGTTAAATTGTTCGACAACAAATTAGCCTTGAGCTCTTACTGGTATAACAAGACAAAGTCTTGCCACAAAATAAAAAGATGTATAGATATTGAGAAAAGAAATTCTACCAAGCTGAAGTTTGTTATGTGTGAGTGTGTGTGCGTGTGTGCTGGAAAAGTTGTTACACTCAGTGCTTTCTATTCACTTATTCCTAATTAGCATCCTGCGGTTGCAGCATCAACTATGCACAGTCAAGTTACCATGGCATTGTGCCTCATGACATTACACACTGACACACACACATACACACACACGTGCACATAATGCCTCGCGTAAGCAGCTTAGCTACATGTTATTCAGAGTGTCTTCTCTCTACTCAAGACAGAGCTGCTTGTTACAGTCCCATTACGATTGTTTTCGTAAATATACTATTGCTGTCTGCCAACGCCAGTGTGGTAGTACAATTCAATTATGTAAATGCCTGATAAGTTCATATTACTCATACGTACCGTATGCTGGCGCACAATTTTGCCTAGTTCAACTCGTTAGCTGCACTGCGACTCATTGTCGGCAGTGACGTGTGTGCAAATTGATTGCTTATCGCATTTCCTTGCAATCATTTGCAGACAAATTGGGTAATTGACAGCTCTTGGTCTGCGTCTGTCTACCGCTCTGGCTGTGTCTCACTGAAATAATTAACATAATTAACATATTTCATATCCATTAAGAGTTTAGTGAGAAGCATTGAGAATCATGTCATAGTTCGATTTCTCACGAAAAATCTATTCATGCAATGACGCCTTTTCTTTCGGCCGTGAATGTGTAGTTAATCTCAGCCGCCTAGCAGCTGCCTAATCTGCTGTAGTCTGGGAACGGCTGTATTAGTTCGACTCCGGAAGTCTTAACGCGTTGAAACGAACTCTTAGATCAAATCAATAAGCCATCCAAACTAATTACGAGGCCAGTTGCATTATATGTGATGAAATAGTTAATTGAGTGTGGGCTTGTGGCTGTGAATGTGAATTATATAGTCAAAGTAAATACTGAATATACCTAGTATTTATATTACAGATAAATATATTTTAGGCACTGTTAGTTTGCTCTTTAGTTGCATTTGCTGTAGCTTAAATCTTCTTCTCTGTTCTTTTCAGTAGCCGCGCACTAGCTTGGGGTCCCTTTATATACCCTGCCTGAGTGCTGTCTTTCGTTTGCCTACTTTTAGGTTTCATCTGTTTCCACCGCAAAACCTTATCAGCAAAGACACGGACTTGTTTTTTCCAAGCAATCACCTTTTGCCTTGCACATTAGCTTCATTATGGTCTCTACTGTGACTGCACGAGTAGCTTCTGAGAGGTCAACTTTTTTCTTACACCTTTTATAGTAGAGGGAAGCGGTGTCCATTACATGCGCTCTCTTTCTCTCTCTCGCTTTCTCTCTGTGGTTTAGAGATACTTTTGAATGTTAACATGACCAGAGCGTATTTCTCTCAAATAAAAAGTCATCCCATTGGGTTTTTTTATGCATATACATTTATAGGTCGAGGGATATTTCGCGAATCTGCCTTTTCGTCATATTTTGTATATAAGCTGCCATAGATTTCTTGGCTTCCTATACTGACTCTGGTTGACTCTCACTGTATCATCTTAAAGCAAAGCTTAAGCCACAAGTTAAAAGAAATTCGTCTTATCCAAGCTTACGCTTAAAACTCAGCTAATAAATAACTTGACAAAAAATATACATATACACACACACGCACACACATTTAGGGTAAATTAAAATTAATTAGGAATCCAATTACAGTTTTTAAACCGCAGAATACCTGTTGTAGCTCAAGTGAACTTTTGCGAAATATAATAATAAATATAACGAAATACATACTGCTCTGTAATTAGTCTTGAGTTTCGGCTGTGTGTGTTTGTGTGTGTGTGTGCGTGCATGTGTGAATGTGCGTTTGTTTGAGTCAAAGCAACCGCAAGGCCAACTCATGTCAAACTTTAGCCAAGCGCTGGCAATAAATCTACGTTAGAAATTCAAAAGTTTATTTATTTTTCACCTGCTGTGCAGCAAAGTGTCAGCAACAGTCAAGAAATAACAATGAGAGTTTGCTCTAAAGGCACACACTCACCCATATATATTTTCATCAGTTCACGACTCGTATCGCATCGCTCGTATCAACTTTCCAAGCACTCGACAACTGAACTCTGACCTTGACATTGTACGAAGATGACATTGGCTTATGAATAAGAGCAATCATAAAAGTTTGGACAGAGTTGGAAACAAATTTTCGGTGGCAAAAGAAACAAACGTGTGAAGAGATAACTTGAAACAGAAAGAAAAGCTATAAAACGGCTTTCAATTTGAAGCGTAGACTTAGAACTAAGAGATTCGCAGTCAAAATAAACGTGAGCTAAAATGTTTAGTTTAATCATGAAACAATTTATTTAGGTAAATTTTATTTGATTTATTTTTCACACATATGTTTTGCAAACTAAATTTTTAATAATTTTGGCTTCAATTAAAGTTCTGCAACAAAATCTAAATATTTACTAGATTAATCCAAACAAAAATTAATTATGGTAAACTGTAATAGTAATAATTTTTTCATTTTCTTCAATATTTTATTTAATAATATAAAATAAATATTTTTATGTACATTCTTCATTTGAAATTATCTAAATTTTTTGTTCTTATTTTTGCTTTCAGCTAATGTCATTTTGGCTTCAATTAAAGTTTTGCAACAAATTCTCTTTGTGGTCATAGGAGCTGTATATTTGTCGAGTCAAAGAGGTATGTATGTGAATTGTGCACTGTTGTGTTTTAAATCATAACCCAAAGAAAGATAAACAACAAGGAATAGTCACATACACACATATGTATATATATGTATACTAGGGTCCAATTATGCGGGCTAACAGCGCAAAAGTGCAGACCACAACAGAGACATCATTAGTATGCAGTTTGTTGTTTGCATTTACAACTTTATTCGTGGATATGTGTATGTGTGTGCGGAGTGCCAGAGTGTGGGTGTGTCTGGATAAACTTTAGGCCACAAGTGACTGCGACAACGTTATTGTTGGGCAGGGCATAAAAACTTTATATACATATATATACACAAAATAAGCAAATTGATCTAGGCAAAAAGTATACGACAATGAGATACCTCAGATTAAAGGTATCCACATTCGAATTGCCCTCCATGTGAGTACATGAGCTATAGATGATTTTAACTGACGTGCATATTATATTTTATTGTGTTGCATACACAGCGGATATACCCTATGCATATATTTAGGGTCTCTAGGATATGTGAGCAATAAAACCCTCATAAAATCCAAGTAAAAACCTTAATTAATATAGAGAATCCGCCATTTGTTGCAGCCATAATCCCCAGTTAAAATCTGCCTATAAACACATACATGTATACATATCGTCTGCATGTGTGTGTCTGTATATGTATGTGGACTTTCTTCACACTCGTTCAGCTGTTAACTGCGCTCTTCAGCCATTCATGAATGCGCATTGCAAATTCAACGAGTGAGCTGCATAAAAGGCAGCGCTTCAATCAATTTCAAAAGCTCGTTTTTTTTTCCAACATTCAATATGCGGGGAGTAGGTCAACAGTTCCGTGTTTTTTATTTATATTTATTTTTCATGAATTTTTCGTGTTTCCCAGTTAAGCTAAACCAATCAAAAAGTATCATACATTCAACATGATATCAGATGTTCAGGTCGATGCTAAAAGAACAATTTGCGTGTTTTATTTTTGGAATATTTGCTGTTAATGGCAGTGAATGCATATTAAATCAGCCAGACAGCGGCAACTGGCAGCTGGCAAAGCAGCTTCTTCTGTCGTCTCAACTTTTTGGCAGCAGTCAGCAAAATGTCTTAATTATATGTAAACATTGCGCACATTGTCTACAAATGTCGAAGTCGAAGTCTCCCATGGCAGCACAAAGTTTTCCCCAAATAGAAAAATAAATTGCAATGGAAAGCCAATTCATTAGTCAAACAAACTCTGAAATTTAAGAAATCATCGGTGCGTAAACATAATGTGCATTAATTTATAAAAGTAAAATGAGCTCAAAATGTGTAATAAAATCAAAAATATTTGTATACATAATATATGATTAAACTTACCTTGGTCTGGTTCTGATCTGATCAGCTGCTAAAATTGTTAAATTGTAAATGTTAAATTTCATATTTTTTAAATATTTCTGATTAAAATTATGATGATTAAAATTCTTAATTAATTTGTGTAGCAGAAAAAACCCTCTGTAATTAAAAATAAAGAATGAGATATTGTAAATAGATTATTATAAAAACAGTGCGTATACGTAATATCCATTAGCTTACCTCAAAGAACGATATAAATACTAAGAATGTGTTGAAAATTTGGTAAATATTCAAAGGATGCGTATACGTAACAGCAGCATAAATCTTGAACAATTATTATATGAGTATGTATGCATATATGTATATGATTTTATTTATTTTTTGATTTTAGGCTGAGCCTACTTGAAGTATTACAAATAAACTAAAAACAAACTGAAAAATATATTTTTATAATAATAATAACGCGTATGTGTAATGCCAATGAGCTTACCACAACAAAACTATTGAAAAACCATTAAGTAGCGCTTAGGTAATTTGCGCCTTTAAAGCATAGAACTCTGTAATCCATGCAGGGTGGCGGCTCCTTGTCAAGCTGCACAAAAATGCCAAAAAACAATAAAATAATGGCAAGCATAATAACGGTTAGGGTAATACATTTCTTCGTTTCCGTGCGACTATCCGCGATCACAGCACCTGCCATACTATTCACTAGATTTGATGAGGCTAATGCATATAACATCTCGTATGAGGTTAATTGAGCGAATCTAAACTTACTGAATGGCGTCTATCAGAAGCACTTGCTATCGTAAGAATTGCACTGTCCGAAATCAGATTGCAGCATATAATATACGCCGGCGAGTAGTCCGCCCAATAGCAGGAAGATCAAGCTCCAGTAAAGCAGACGATATAAAATAACCGGATTTTTTATTAGTTTTTTGTCCTTGGATTTACGCCTTCGTCCACTGCGCTTCAATACGTTGCCCATGCTCAAATCTTGTACGCAAATAATATATATATAATTATATAAATTTAAAACAATCTGTTCCAGTTAGAAAAGGCCTACTACAGCCGCTCGGTAGAACAATGAAATTTTATAGAAATTTCTGGCCATTTGTGGTGAAATGGCAGGCGAACCGGAACCAGCGCCAATTTGGCCAGCAACAACTTTATCGCAACTGTGGAAACTTTGGCTAATTATTTAAGTTAATTGGGCCTTTTGGCCGCAAAAAGTCAAGGCAAACACACACACACACACACACACAATACAATACAACAAAAGCGAAATAACATTATGTGGGATGGCCTGAGCACAGGAGAGCCCGAAAAATAGGTTAAATATTTGCACAAAAGGCCACAAATGTCTCACAAATTTGTTAAAATTACTTACAAACAAAGTTACACAACAGCAACAACAACAACATCTCTGGGCAGTTGGGCCGGGGATTTGAGGGGTCAGGGGTCAACAGCCAAACCGAGCAGCCTTATAAATTTGAGTGTTTTGTGCCTGGACTTTTGTTCTGCTTCGAACTGAATGTAAATGTGAGATGCTTCGAGCACATTTCGTGCCATTATTTGCCATCGTAATTGGTTGCACTCGCTTTGCATATTTTAACAAATTCTTCAGATTTTCAGCCGTCCGTCAGTCCATCCAGCAGTCCAGCTGCTTGGCGAGGTGGCAAATGTTTGCACATCAACTTGTGGCCAATTAGATGTGTTTGCGGTTTTCACTCGGACCGATTGCAGCTTCAGTTTATTAAAAAAAAATTATACAAAGGGAAGTGAATTAGTGAAAAAAGATTGTAGTCTAGTAAAAATATAAGCTATCATCATATATATTATATATTACTGTGATCAGCTAAGCATAGAGCTTGAGGTTTTTAAAGTAAAGGTTAGATCTTATAAGAATTAGCATAAAAGACATTTTATCATAATTTTGCAGCTGTTTTGATAAAGCTTAAATTTAGTTAGCGCAAATCAAAAGATTCAGCAGTTGACAAAATAATTTTTTTCAAAGAGCATTTAAGCTTTATGGGAGCTTAAGTATTTTCTCTCTTATATGCCTTATACACATTTTCCTTTGTGGATAATAGGGTATGAGGAATGATAGCTGATTATGTATTTCTTAAATTTCAAAAAAATTTCGTAGTCTGTATTCAAGTTAAATAAAGAAAATAAATATATTTATTAGAATTCTAAATATTTTGTTTACAAAGAGCTTCTATATATAGGAATTTAAAAGAAAAAACAAAAATTGATTAGTATATAAAATAGCTTTGTTTATATAAGTCTTCTGTTCAAAATATATACATAATAATATATAATTAAAATCTATTCTATTTTTCTTCTATTTTCTTTGCTGATACAAAAGAATTAAGTTAATTATGATTTCAATGAATTCTCAGCAGCTTCCATTTGAGTAAATCCTTACCAGCTTATATCCCGTTTACTTCCAGCTTTATACAACTTTGTATAAATATTTATTGCCGCTTCAATAACAATAGTTCTCCAAAACCAAAAATCTGAAGACTCCTTCAATTAGCCACAATTGCTAGCGCTTGAAAACCCACTGCATTCATTTGAGCTGGGCTCTGCAGGGCTCTTGAAGTGCCTGGCTCTGGCTGTGGCTAACGAGTAACAATATCCCATGCAGTTTGATTGGGCCGCAATTTACATCATGCTCGTGCTTTTATTAATTATAACTAATTGCATTAATGAACAATGCCCGATGCAAGGTAATCATGAAATTCAGCGTGGGGTATCAATGGCGAATGGCGAATATGTGTTCATTACAGACAGAGTCTCTTTCTCTCTCTCTCTCTCTCTCTGTATGTAACAATGGCAACAATGCGTGAGTGAGTGTGGGGGAGGTAGAGTGGGCTCGGAGCGGCTGGGTGGGGTGGCGTAGCTTACTTGAATATTCCTTTTGGAGAGCGCCTTGAGCTGTAGCTGTTTGATGTTAATGAAAGTTTCCGTTGTGCAAATAAAGCCAAAAGCATGGAAATCAGTAAAACAAATTGCAATCTGCTTTTTCTTCGCAATACGCTGCATGACGCAAGTCGCAAGTCGCAGCAGCAACGGCGTACGCAAGGACCTCAATCGATTGCCTGCTGTTGGCGCTGCTGTTCCTTGCTGCTGCTGTGCTACTGTTATGTGCGGGTGAATGTGTATGTGTGTATGTGTGTGTGTGTGTGCCCTGCTGTCCATGATATTGACTTGCTCATTATGGGCCCCGTTTGCCAGCTGCTTGTTGACTGTCGCCTTGACTGCCACAGCCACAGCCACAGCCACTGCTGCCGCTGCCGCTGCCGCTGCCGCTGCCACAGCCACATGCCTGGACTGTTCGCAGTGCCTCGCATCGGCACGATACGTTTTTGGCTTGGTCTTCATTTCGATTCATTTTCAATTTAGCAATGCCACAAAGCATGCTGGTACTTTTCAATTCCTAGCGCAATGCTCTGGCCATATCGTCGCATTTTGCAATCAGTGCTCATTTTACCATAAATTGATAATTTTCTAACGGATATACAATTTCCGTCTCGTCCGCCTGTCGGGCCATACTACTTGCAGTCACCCATTTTACCCCAGCCCACATCTTCACTCACCCATCTCTCGTTCAGCGCAGTCATTGACCCGCCGCAGGCGAAGCGCATTAAATTCTAAAGCCGCAACAAAGCTAGTCATAATATTCAACTTAAATATGTCATTAACAAGTGCAAAATAATAAAAACTACAAAGCTTGATTGAGTTCTGGGGAGGGTGCCAAACGAGAGATACCCTGTAGATGTAATAATAAATAATGTTATATTATATATAATATATTGAATATATAATTGTTATTGTAAACGTTATTCGCTTCGTGTTCTTTAGAGATTTTTTATTTATTATTTTTAGAACATGAAGAGTGTATTAAATAGGAGTTTTTTGGAATTAGAGTATATCCTGGTGTATATAGGAATTAATAGATGATGATCAATATTTATTGATGAATATTTGTAGATATATATAAAAATTGAATCAAATTGCAAAAAACATTTTATACCAAAAATTAAAAAAGTTCATTAACACTAAGGCTTGTTAAATTTCTGCTTTACTGCTTAATTCCAAAGTGGACTCATCGCAGGGTTATTTATAATACATTCTCTATGAACGAAAATCTGTAAAATATGTATGATAAATCGATTAGGGTTCAGCTAGACACTGGCATATGGCACTGACAGCCAGCCTTAATAATGTGGCAAACAGACAAACACATATAGATATAGTTTTGTATATCAAATATTTAGTTTTGCTTGCCTGTCTCTCCCTATCTCTCTCTCTTTCTCTATCAGACTCCATTAGGCATGCTTGTAGGGTATTAAAAATGCACAGTCTTTCGGATAGAGTCGTACGTAAAAGTTTGAGCTGGCGGCAGGCGGACACAATACACGCACCGGTTCAGACAGTTAAGAAACTCGACAGCTTTCGACTCGTAAGCAGCTGGCCGAACAATGTGACTGAGTGAGTATTCAACTCTCAGACTCTACGACTCAGTGTTTATATTCAGTGCCCTCTTTTTTTTTTTTTTGTTGCCTGATGCCTTATTACCCCAGCCTGAAGCCTGATGGCTCTCTGCTTTGGCCAGCTGCAGCATCATTTCGTCTACTTTGGCCTGGCTTATTTTGTGTCTCCGTGGCCCTTGCATCATCGTCAGTTGTTATGCTGGCAAGTTTTGCCTGCAGCTTGACGCAAATTGTCAACCAAGTTTGCAACAATAATCTCCTTGCCCTAGCCTCAGTCTGCAGCTCAGTCTCAGTCTCAGTCTCAGTCTGTCTCTGTCGCCGTGTCTCAGACTCGCTTGGCTGCCTGAAAAGTGAAATAACGGAGCTTGGGAGTAGATAAAAACCAGAAAACAATAAGGCTTTTGGGTTTCGTGCACTCTGTGTGCTTTTTGCATTCGAATGCAATGTGACTTTTAGCAGCGTTTACACAGAACTCAAGCCAAAATGAAAATGAAGAAAAATAAAAGAAAAGAAATGAAAATATATATGTATATGTATATATGTATATGCGGGTGCACTTGCATTGGCATTGGCAGCGCCAACTCCCCTGCCCAGCTCTATGGCAAAGGTCCTTTGGCAAAGCAATTGTGAATTTTTGGTCTCTTTAGATGCACGTCGTGATTACTTTAGCTTTTTGTATAAGCTGGCTTATTTGGAGCAGTTTCTTTTGCTTCGTCTGCTTGTGGCCCAGCTCTTGTGATCAAAGAACGTCGAGCACTACTCTGACCCAGTAATAAATGCTTTTGATTTCCAAGTACAGATTTAGTGTGTAGTTCATATAAGTATTATGGGAATTATGCTGGCATTTTTGATGCAGTCCAAAGCTGGCTGGCTGACTGGCTGACTGGCTGACTAGTGCACACATTTTGGGTATTAAGTAGGGTTCTAAGAAAAGCTTGTTATGGCTAATCAAATAGAATATGAAACAGCAAACACTACTCTGGAATAGAATGATAACTGTAGGTGTCTGTAGCTCTTATATGTTAAGCGCTTTGAGATTTTGAGCATTCTCAAAATATTAAATAAGTATATATTATATAAAATAAATTACTGGATAATTAAATAAAATATTACATATTTTGTGCTACATTTTTCATTGTAAAATAATTTAAAAAAAAATTTAAACAATATTTTATTATATTTTTAATATTTTAAAATATAATGTTATATTTTTAATATATATTTTTTAATGTAAAATTTAATATTGTTTTTTTTTCTAATTTTACAAAAATATAATTCAATAAAATTATATGTTTAAATTAACGAAAATTAAATTGCATGTTTTTACGTGTTAAGTTTAATATGAATAAATTATTTAGACTTTATAAAAATATTCATAAATTGAATTGGCAAATATTTATGGTTTCTTTTTAAACGTAAATAATATCTAATTAATTATATTGTGTGTCTGTGAGTTTATTAAAATATTCGACCATACACAAAAACAAATA